AACCTTATTCCTGACGAGTTTACTGCGTTTTAAATTATGGCTGGCACTTTTCCGCTTTGGGGAACTTACATTCAAAAAGACAGAAACTAATCTTTTCAAATCATAAGGTTGGCCTACAAATAAAGCTTATCCATCAGTTTGACTGAATGAGCTGTCAATTTCCTTGTTTTATTTTGACATCATACGTCATAACATCACACTTGGTTCATGGTCTGTTAAAAGTACCTTGTTGATGCTTTTACACTTTAAAGTGTCCCTTTAATATTCGATGGATAAAGGGTGAGTAGAATAATGTAATCTCATTTCTACCAGTTTAAAAAAAAAAAAAACAGCAAGTTATTGCGTTCATGAAGTGAGCCTTTCACTGATTATGGACAGCTTAACGGAAGTTACACCATATTCATGCAAAGCGTCATGGGGCGTAGGAATAAGGTATATACAGTGTTGGTAAGTTACTCTAAAAAAGTAATTAATTACTAGTTACTATTACCTCTTCAACAGTGTAACTAGATAACTGTACTAATTACTCTCTCTAAAAAGTATTTAATTACTTTTAATTTCTTTCAAAATCCCAAATCAATCTCAACCAGCTGAATACAGGATAGACATGAATCTGTTTAAAGGCTTTCAAAAAAAAAAAAAAAAAAAATACTATAAAATTGCATGAATTATCCTTAAACTGACCAAGGTGGATAAGGTTACATTATTTCATTTCATTTCATTTATTTTCTATTCTCTCTTTTCATGGTAATGCAACACGAAATACCACAAGAACAATTTAACAAATCAAACCAACACAAATTATAAAAACATATAAATAATAAAAACATACTTTAACATCAGACAATAGATTTTGATGTTAAACCCACTATTGTTTTATGTCTGATCTCACACATTTTCATACATATTTTACAATAACTCATACGAATTTGTACGAGTGCGGTCGTACAATTTAGACACCTCATGAAATGAATATGAATCGCTGTGAGATCGGATTGATCTATACACAGTATTTACCTCAATTACATCAGAAGTAACTGAAATTAAATTACAGATAAATGAAGAGTAATCCCTTACTTTACATTTTCAAGGGAAAAGTAATTAAATTACAGTAACTAATTACTAAGTAATTAGTTACGCCCAACACTGGGTATATATGATGTATGTTTAAAGTTACAGGACACAAACGATTGTGTGAGGAACAAACTTAAATGTAAGTCACAGAGCTGCCAACTCTTACGCATTGGCTGTGAGACACCCGCATTTGATTGGTCTCACATGACACACCCCCGATTTCTCATGCTGAAGTGTCAACCTGGTCGCACAAATGCCTGGAAAATGAGTTTATCTTTATATCTACCTGTTGAGCCACTCGTTATCGACTAGTTATGCCGCAAATTAAATCTCCCAGAATCTAGAGAGATTGTGCTCCAAACTGCGTAGCACCGCACGGCACTCCATTTCTTGCAGCTAACATCTGCTACAGCCGCCTACTGTACCAACACGCTAATTCCTTAAGCCTTGTTCACACTACATGATTTTAAAACGTTGGGCTGAACTGTGCGTTTCACACTACATGACTTGCTCTCAGTGAAATCAGGAGTGTTCAAGTTGTTTAGCTGTTCACACCACACAACACAACGTGATTGATCCACAACAGGAGGTAACTCACTACACGAGTTGACAACGCACTACATAGAGACCACGATCGGATGATAAGAGCAAATAAATCATTTGTGACTCAGTGAGAGCTGTTTCAGTACTATGGTACGGTCTAAATCCTAAAAATAATCAAATAAATAACGAGTTGACAACAACTCTGTCACCCAACGATTCTATCTTGCCTACAAACCACGTTTTGTCATGAAAAAACACGCAATAAAACGAAACAGAAATGACGCGAAACAGCATGTGCGCCAATGCCCAGTGAAGAAGAGAACACAACACGGCAAAATTATGGACATCAGACAGAAACTAGTGCTGCAGACAGTTTGCGTGACAATGTGCTCTGAGAAACGATGTGCTCTGCGAGGCGTCTGCGAGCGTTTTCGCTGCGTTGTTGGCCCTTTCATACTAACAGATTGGCAAGCGTTCATCGTCCGCTAATCCCCCCCGATTTGCACGCAATAACACCCTGACATGTCGGCGAGCTCAACGATTTGCAAATCGGGCATAAATCGGGCTTAAAATCCTGTAGTGTGAACTTGGCTTTAGCAGCAAGGCACGCAGTAATGGCGGCGCTGCTTTACTTCCGTGTTTCGCCGGATTTGTGTATAGGAGCAGCGATTAGGTGAATATGTAAATATGTGCTGCACACCTTCCTCTAAATAACAAAATAACACAACAAAAGTGACAGCAGAGAAAACAGCAGTTAACAAAGCATCTGATCATAGTGATGTGAATGTGTTTGCATCAGCTGTGCAATTCAGCACTCGTCAAGTCACGTTTATTTAATATTTTGTACAACGGATTTCTTTAAAGCAAGCAGATTTACAGTTAAACAGTGTCATTGTCACTTACAATTGTAATTACAACTTCCTCTTCTACTATAAAACAATTATTCCGTGTGTTGATGTTTTACTCGCATCTAACCTCGACAAAATGAACAGAACAAATGAACCGGTGAAGGTTAATCCTACCTATTGTGTAATCGCCGGATCAATGGTCATTCAAAAGTCTTTACCATCTGAAGCAAACATTTCTGGAAAGTTTGCTTTGGTAAGCTGTTTCGAACTCAAAAAATTAACCACAAACAAACTTAATTTTGGCCTTATTTTGTTTGAAATGACGTCAAGATTTATTTTTTTTTTTTTAAAAAGCAAACATGAAAGTTTATCCCTAAATATAACCGTCACTGGGGAATGAGCAGATCGTGCACAAATAGATGACTACTAAAAAAAAGTCATAGGATTGAGAATGTCTAGTAACTATACTATATATACAGGGGTTGGACAATGAAACTGAAACACCTGGTTTTACAACACAATAATTTGTTAGAATGGTGAGGGCCTCATTTTGCATCCAAATACAGCACCAATTGACAGATAGAAGTCCTTCACAGTGACCAGAGGGATTATGAGCCGTTCCTCTTCCAGAACAGTGTCCAGGTCACTATATGATGCTGGTGGACTCGCTCCTCCAAAACACCTCAATAATATTCAGATCTGGTGACTGTGCAGACCATGGGAGATGTTCAACATCACTTTCATCTTCATCAAACCCTTCTGTCACAAGTCTTGCTGTGTGTGTTGGTGCATGATCATGCTGATGCACGGTTTGAGCATCAGGTGCTCATGATCCTCTAGAAGGGTTTGGTAGTCCTCGGCAGTGTCGTGTCCATCAAATACAATCAGGATTGTCATGATATTGGAGCTCAAACCATCACTGATCCACCCGTGCTTCACTCTGAAGATTGGCCGCCAGGCATATAGATGTGAAACCTCCAACATTGGCCAGTGTTTCAGTTTCATTGTCTAACCCCTGTATATAAATATATAGTAACTTGGTGTATATCTGTGTGTGTATGTGACAGGTATCGCCCTGATGATGAACCTTTGTGAGGAGGTCCATGTGTACGAGTATATTCCTTCTATGAGAAAAACTGATCTGTGCCATTACCATGAGAAGTACTATGATGCAGCCTGCACTTTTGGAGCTTACCACCCTCTGCTTTATGAGAAACTGCTTGTTAAGAAGATGAGCACAGCTTCTGAGGAGGACCTCAAGAAAAAGGGAAAGGTCACACTGCCAGGATTCAGTAAGATCAACTGTCCACTGTGATTTAAAGGGCCCCTATTATTACAAGGGACCAACTTTATTGGACTCATTGACCACAAAAATGTACACGTTGATACCAAATTTGTCATTATAGCTATAACAGAAGCAAAGATATGGGCCTCTCAAGTATGATTGGCGGCCATTTAAAAAAAAAAAATGTGCATATATAACAAACAAAATGTGATCTCACTTGTGTCTTAGGATAAATTTATTTCTATGGCCCTAAGGTACTTCCATACCAAAGGGGACCTTTGCATCATGACTTGAAGTCAAAAGTCGCTTAACCTCTCTACTATATTAAGCTATTTTAAAGTTTCCTAATGTTGTCGAGTCTGTTTACATGCTTACAGGTTTACATGCATCAAAGGTAAAAAAAAAAACTATTTAATTTCCTTATAATATATATGTGCACATCATAACATTTTCAGTGATTATCAAACGACTTGTCAAATGAATCTCTCTAAATCCCTCCTTTCCGCGAGCTACTCTGCTCTGATTGGCAAGAAAGTTTAGTCTGTTGTGATTGGCCTACCGTGTACAGCGCGTCAAAATCAAAAACGCCCATTGTCATAACAATGTCAGCTGTGCTTGAGGCTTCCTACACTGTAAACTAAACACAGTAACGAATAATGACGTCGATTTGACCATATTAATGTGAGCGCAAGTCCAATGATAAAACACTGGAAGAGCTTGTTATTCAACCTGATCCTCCATCGCAAGGATGACTTGAGCAGGATGTTTCTCAGTGATACACTGCCGGTACTCAGTTTGAGGTACATTATGAGAAGTTGCAACTGTAATTCCTCACCATGCACATTAACAAGTCCATGTCCATCAACAAACCGATTATTTTACTTGCACTAATTTATTTACAGAGTATTTTTCTAATATATTGCGGTGAATAAGTGGAAACTGAATCAATCAACAGTGCATGCATGCAATGTACATTAGCTGCACTAGAGTGAATGAACATAAAACGTTGGCAAAGCAGATATTTCCTCAAAGTAGTGAGAACAGACCATCTGCATTAATAGACACAGTTTAAGGTAATAGTGGCTCACAACTGATCAGCAGAAGTATTTCAGTAAGACAGTAATAATGTGAGTTAACCAGTTAGCAGGAGACCTACACAATATAAAACTGAAAACTAAGTATTTTAAACACCATCTTTCAAGCGGTGCAAGCGAGCAAATGGTTTGCGAATCCTGCATTGAACTCCGAGATTTGAGAAGCAAATCAGTTAAATTAAAGGAACACAGGAACACAGTAAAAGTTTAGGATTACACTGCTGTGCTTCAAAATCGCTCATAGTTAATGATATGATCTCAGATTATAATCTAGATGTGCTGTGTTTGACAGAAACCTGGCTGAAACCAAACGATTACATTACTTTAAAGCCACCCACAAGATTACTGTTATAAACACGAACCTCGTCTGAGAGGCAAAGGGCGAGGTGTTGCTGTAATTTATTGTAATATCCTCAAAACCACTAAGAAATCTAGTTTTAAATATACTTCTTTTGAAGTGTTCATGCTTAATGTAAAAATACATAAACGAAACGAGTGTAAATGATAAATCACGTTTGAAAATTCTGCTGGCTACTTTATACAGACCACCAGGGCACCATAAAGATTTTATCAAATAATTTGCAGATTTTCTATCAGAATTAGTATTGGCTGCAGATAAAGTACTAATAGTTGGTGATTTTTATATACATGTAGATAATGAAAAAGATGCATTGAGATTGGCATTTAAAGACAGTGGGTCTCATTCATGAAACATTCGTAAATATACTAGTAAATATGAGAGTGATTTGCGCGTAAAGAGACCCATTGTAAACTCTATTGGAGTTAGACAACACAGGATCTACTCATTGTCGTAATTACACTGTAGATCTAATAGTATCACATGGAATAGATGTTGATACCGTTGAAATTCTGCAGCAGAGCGATGACATCTCAGATCATTATCTAGTCTCATGTAAATTACATTTAGCCAAGGCTGCAAAGCCGACTCCGTGTTATAGATATGTCAGACCTACTTCTGACACTAAAGATTGCTTTATCAATAATCTTCCTAATTAGTTTCATCGCCTTCGCATTCTGAATAACTTAGAAGAACTTGATATTACAACAGAAACTGTTAACTCTCTCTTTTCCAGCACTTTAGACGCAGTTGTTCCATTGCACTTAAAGAAGATTAAAGAAAATAGTCCGACACCGTGGTACAACGAGCACAGTCAGGCGCTTAAGAGAACAGACATAAAAATGGAGCGCAAATGGAAGAAAACAAAACTAGAGGTATTTCAGGTTTCATGGAAAGACTCGACTGTTTACACAGAGGCCTTAAAAGCTGCTAGATCTGCTTATTTTTCAATCCTATTAGAAGAAAATAAACATAATCCTAGGTATTTATTTGAAACAGTGGCTAAACTAACGAATAAGAGAGCTCCAAGCCCAGAGGTGTCCAAGCAACACAGCAGTAATGATATTTTATGAATTTCTTCACTTATAAGATTGATAATATCAGGAACAAAATTTTAACTATGCAACCGTCTACTACAGTATTGGATCAGGGAATACATCGTCTCCCTGAGGAAAATTTCCATTCATTTGATGCTATAGGAGAGGAAGAATATTGCAAACTCGTTAATTCATCTAAATCGACAACTTGTATGTTAGACCCTATACTGACTAAGCTACTGAAAGAGATGCTTCCAGATTTCATCCTCTTCTTAATACCTTCTTCTACCTTTAAGCTGACTATGATGAAAGCACTTGTTAAAAAAACGCAACTTGATCATAAAAAAAATTAGTCAATTACAGGCCGATCTCGAATCTACCTTTTCTGTTAAAGATATTAGAAACAGTAATCTCACAACTGTGTTCCTTTCACGAAGAAATGATATCTGCAAGGATTTTCAGTCCGGATTAAGGCCGTACCATAGTACCGAAACATCTCTTGTTAGAGTCACAAATTATTTGCTCTTATTTGTTCAAAAACTTTGCTCTTAGTGTTACTTGATCTTAGTGCTGCATTTGACACAATTGACCAAAACATCATTCTTTTAAATAGACTAGAAAACTATATGTTGGCATAAGTGGAATTGCACTAGCATGGTTTAAATCATACTTATCTGACCGTTATCAGTTTGTAGCGGTAATGGCGTTCAGTATGGCGTACCACAAGGCTCAGGACAAGGACCGCTGCTGTTCTCTCAGTACATGCTGCCATTAGGAGATATCATTAGGAAACATGGAATTAGCTTTCATTGTTATGCCGATGACACTCAGCTCTATATTTCTTCAAAATCTAACGAAAACTTACCAGTTCACAAAATTAACGGAATGCATAGCTGATATAAAAAAAATAGATGACTAGTGATTTCCTACAACTAAATTCTGAAAAAAACAAAAAAACAAAACAGAGATTCTGATTATTGGACAAAAAAACGTCCACATGTAATAAACTAGAATACTGTCTAACAAATGAAGGCTGCTCTGTTAATTCTTTGTCATTGATTAGGAACCTGGGTGTGCTATTTGATGCCAATCTTTCATTTGAAAGTCATGTGTCTAGTATCTGTAAAAACACATTTTTCCATCTTAAAAATATTTCTAAATTACATCATATGCTCTCATTGACAAATGCGGAGCAATTAGTTCATGCGTTCGTGAAAACAACAAGACTAGATTATTGTAATGCTCTACTGGGTGGTTGCCCTTCTCGCTTAAAAAACAAACTACAGGTAGTACAGTTCTTACCAGAACCAGGAAGTACTGTATGACCATATTAGTCTGGTTCTGTCAACACTGCATTGCCTGTCTATTAAACATTGTATACATTTTAAAATATTGTTGATAACTTACAAAGCACTAAATGGTTTAGCTCCGCAGTACTTGAACAAGCTCTTAACGCATTATGCGTCTATTGCAATCCCAAAATTCCAGCCAGTTAATAATTCCTAGAATATCAAAATCGACTGCTGGCGGTAGATCCTTTTCCCCTATAACACCAAAACTGTGGAATAGTCTTCCTGCCATTGTCCGGGAAGCAGACACACTCTGTCAGTTTAAAGCTCGATTAAAGACACATCTCTTTGCCCTAGCATACACATAATAAACATTGAATTATAGACTCAAATAATTCAATGTTAGGCTGCATAGATTAGGTCAGCCGGAACTGGGAACACTTCCCTTAAATCCTGATGTACTCATTACATCATAAGAAGAATGGCATCTACGCTAATTTGAGTGTGTGTTCTTTGTATATCTTAAGGCTTTCCCGCAGCCTGTCGGATCCAAGCCGTATCCAGATCTGACGAAGAGCTTAGCGGTGCAGTGCTGAAGAGCCAACTAGCCTCTCCCTATGGAGGATCCCTTTCACTCTACAGATAAAGCGTTGAGAATTTCGTTTTGTGTACCTACCCCTAAGTGATGAAATAAAACAAAATTCTGTATCAAAATTATAGACAAGACAAGTAGTTTGTTCAGGCATGGTTTTGTTGGGAATTACAAACCTGCGCACATATATTCAAAAACAGATAACCATAAAATCAATTCTTAATGAGCATGTGAACGCCATCAGCGTTTATCACAGGTTCTCGTTTAAACTCTGTATAGAGACATTCATATACATTTTTATCTTACAGTTAGTGTAAATCAGGCCTCTAGTTCATAAAAGCTAGAGGAGAACTCGCCCCCAGCTGAGCTTGGGTTCTCCCAAGGTTTTTTTTTTTTTTCTCCATTGGGTCACCTGATGGAGTTTTAGGACACTATTAGGTCACTTAATGGAGTTTTTAGGTTCCTTGCCACTGTTGCCTTTGGCTTGCTCAGTTGGGGATATTCGAATTAATTAACCAATCAGTAATACCCTCGATCAGCTCTTGCTCTTTCAGATTTAAAACTTTGCAGGATGTTTTCATTCACTTAGAGCTATGTTACACACTACATGAAAGGTAATTTTCAAAAATCCATAATAGGGGCCCTAAACACAAATCACAGTACAAACCCATCTGATCTAAATTAACGCAGACTTTTGTCATCTAATAGGGGTTTTATATATAGTTCTTATAACAATCTGAGAAAAGACATAATGAGGAGGATACAGTACTTTCACAGAAGTTTTGATGGGAGGCTTCATCTCATATGGCCCTTATACTAAAAGACTGGCGACATATTCAGAACTGACCTCAATTCACAGATGCTGTGAATACAAAACATGTTTGTGATGCAAGACTGTGAATACAAAACATGTTTGTGATGAAGGACAAGAGGAGAGTTTCTTACTTGAACGAGCTACTGAAATTAGCACAGAGATTGTAAATATAAAGATCCAATAACACTATTTCCTGAGTGGAATCAAATTCTAGTTTGCGTTCTAATTTTAACAAAGAAAAAAAAAATGAAGAGAGGATTGAATAACTTAAGTTTCAAATTTCCCAAACGTTGGGATTTTTTTTTTTATCATTGTCATTTAAAGGTTCATTGTGTAATATTTAGGAGGATCTGTTGACCATTATGCAATATGATATACATAACAATGTTTTCAGTGGTGTATAAAGACTTACTTAATGATTACTTAATGTATTTATTACCTTTAGAATGAGCCATTTCTATCGACATACACCATGGGTCCCCTTATATTGAAATAGCCATTTTGCGCAAACATGTTTCTGCAGTAGCACTAAATGGACAAACACATTTATCAGTGATCACTATGTTGTTCTTCAACAAAGAAGCTAGATAAAGTCAGCAAATAAAACCCTGACACAATGATGAACAATAATACAAAAGTAACAATAATATTCGCAATAACAATTTACTAAATAATTAAGTAAACCTAAATTCTTAATTTATTTTGTAAAGAAACCTCTTTACTTGCTTAACTGGCTACACTTTTCTTGTTGGCCACCTTAACTACTGTTGGTGGCAATTTGGAACCTCATCGCTAGATGCCGCAAAAAATTACACTGCACCTTTAAGGCTGCTCACATTTTTGTAAAGGATGATAAACTTTTTTTGTTTGAATGTTTAATGTGGTAAGTGGAAAGAGATTCCCGTTTCTGTGCTGTTCTCATAATTTTTTGTGATACATTTTTATTAATTATTTTGCACTTCTCATCAATTAGATGACACTATTAAAGCTGTTATTATACTAGAGCCAAAATAATTGGATTTTTACTGTGGATAATTGAGCAATGTTTTTTAATTATTTAATTATTTAATGCTCATGTCACGTGCATAGCAATTCTATTGTCCTTTTTTTCTACTTACTCTATATACTGTAATTATAAACTTGGTACATGTATTTTAAACACCTGCAATGTATTTTCACCAAAAATGAAATATTTGTTTTAATCTGCACCAATACTTATCTGCTGTTATTGTCTATAGAACTCACATTTTAAAAGGGCAGGGGTCGACAACCTATGGCAGCTATTTACCGAGGGTTAATCGCTGCCACGTAAGCAAAAGCAAGAGAGGTGTTTGCATTTTATTCAGATAAAATACCTTGTACCTGCATAAAGATGTAAATGGTGTGAATGGAACAATTATACCAAAACAGATAGCCGTCTGATCATTTAAAACGCATGCATGACCAGGTGTAAATAGGGCCTTTGGAAATCTGTTCTTCAAAGTCTAATTTAAACCTGAAAACCTGAAAATGTAAAACAAATTTGATGAAAATTTGCTTCAAAAGTATTAAGGGTTCTATTCTTAGGTTCTATTACTACAGTATGTTAGCCATTATGAATATTTAAAATGTGTTTGTGTTTATGTGGGGTGGGGGTTGTGGCACATTGTTTATCTCAGTATCTTAAAAATGGCACTTCATGACTAAATGGTTGCCGACCTAGTGTTTAATATTATTTTTAATTTCTTACGATCATTCCAGCACTTGACATGGTTACTTTTATAGGGTGGTAATTTGTTCTTCATTGTTATGGATGTAAGTTTATACTGAATAAAGAAAATGAAATAAATGTATTTAGTGGAAGAAATGTTATTTTAAGCACCCATGTGGTTATGTATATATATTTCTCAATGTATATCAGAAAACATATCCTATCCAGTGCTAATTAAAACGTTGGAAATGTCTAACCTGTTTATTCATAAGGATGTAAATAAGAGGGTTGATGACTGTGCTGCTTTTGGCAAGTAGGGACGGCACCACGCTCGCAATGGGTGTGATGATCCCCGGATGTCCAAACGTGGCCATCATTGCAACAACCCCATAAGGCATCCAGCACAAAAGGTAGCACACCACTGTAGTGATGACCATAAATAAAATGTGGTACTCTCTCCGCCTTGCTGCTGTCTTCCTGATACGCCCTACCTGAGGAAAAACATGTAAATTAGATTGTATTTTTTCTTTGCAGCATCAGATGATTCAGAACAAGTCTTCAAGATACACAAATCCCTAAAGAAATAATTAACCTACATTGTGGTTTCACTGACGCATCAGGTTCATGAGCATAATTTATTGATATTGATAAAGATTTCAGCAATTTCACACATTTATGAGTGTATGAACAGATACAGTAAAATTCATTCCAAATATAATGAACCACATTTAACAAATTGATATATATGGTCTTCTTCATTATGTAAATACACAATGTTTCATGTTCACTTTAAAAGCTAGAATCTAGAACAGTGCATTCTTAAAAACATAAGGTTTTTCTTTTTTAAAAGTCTTATTTTTCATCATTTTCACCTTTATTGTAAGCCGCTTTCTCCTCTGTCATTTGAACAACCAGTTTGCATCCTGATTCTATGAAACCACTCACTCAGAAACAGGCAATGGGCTCAGATTGGTTAGTTTAGGCCGGTGTTGTAATTGGCTAAACTGTGTAGTGCATGTTGTCTGGAAACTTCACGCCCATTACCTTTACGGGCGAAGTTGCATGTGTTCCTGTCAAGTAAATAATGGTGTCGCCTTATTAGTTTGAGCCAGAATCAGACCCAGAAAGCGGAGATGAAGAGAGTCAAGCTGAACCTCCCCAAACACGGCTCTTACAAAACGTTTCTGAATAGTAATTTGACAATGTTTTTTTTAACTTTATGCACGTTTGTCTTACACTAAATAGCATCGAACTAACTATGCACAAACAGCGTTGGCATTGGTTTACGTTCTTGATCAAATCGAAAAATAACGTCATAAAGTATATATATACATGAAAAATACATTTACAAATTTAGTACATATACAAATTCAGATCCAAAATGTTTGTACGCGTTTGTCGTAGACACGAAATAGCATAACTAAGTGACAGAAATATGGCAATGCCCTTTTTTGCATATTCCGGAGGGAGGGAGGGAGGGAGGGTTGATGCAAATGTATGGGTTAGTTACGTATAAAACCCGACCCGTTGTAGTCCCATTCAAGTCGTTTTTGTAGGCATTAAACTTCCTGATTTTTAAAAGACAATATCTCTGCTTACATTGAACCAACAGCAACATTACACACTATTTAAAATGAAAAAAAGTGAAATCGCAATCAACCACCCCTTTAAGAACTGCTCATTAAAGGGTTAGTTCACCCAAAAATGAAAATTAAGTCATTAATTACTCACCCCCATGCTGTACCAACCCCGTAAGACCTTCGTTCATCTTCGGAACACAAATAAAGATATTTTTGATTGAATCTGAGGGCTGGATTACTTTTCCATAGACAGCCTGAGGGACTGCCTCTTGACGGCCCAGAAAGTCATTAAAATAAAAGGTTTAAATATTCCATGTGCCTACAGTGGCTCAACTATAACTTTATCAAGCGACGAGACTACTTTTTGTGCGAAAAAAAACCCGTAAATAACGACTTTATTCGACTTTCCATTACTTCCTTATGGGCGCATGCGCGAGAACTGAGACGAGACCGTTCTTCTTCGACTACTTTTTGTTACCGGCTGCTCACCGCTTAGGAGTTTTACCGCCCCCACCGTATAAGATGACGTACTGCTTGTAAACAGAACGTTTTGCGCCTCCGGCTATATCAGTACGTCATCTTATACGGTAGGGGGCGGTAAAACTCCTAAGCGGTGAGCAGCCGGTAACAAAAAGTAGTCGAAGAAGAACGGTCTCGTCTCAGTTCTCGCGCATGCGCCCATAAGGAAGTAATGGAAAGTCGAATAAAGTCGTTATTTACGTTTTTTTTTCGCACAAAAAGTAGTCTCGTCGCTTGATAAAGTTATAGTTGAGCCACTGTAGGCACATGGAATATTTAAACCTTTTATTTTTATGACTTTCTGGGCCGTCAAGAGGCAGTCCCTCAGGCTGTCTATGGAAAAGTGATCCAGCCCTCAGATTCAATCAAAAATATCTTTATTTGTGTTCCGAAGATGAACGAAGGTCTTACGGGGTTGGTACAGCATGGGGGTGAGTAATTAATGACTTAATTTTCATTTTTGGGTGAACTAACCCTTTAAGGGTATGTTTTGATTAAATTGAACACTGGTGCGATTGCTCTGTTAGTGTGGTTCAACGCCACACAGCCAAGAACCTGTCGTGTTAAACTTTCAAGAAATGAGAACTCTGGACCCCGGGTTATCCATGTCTAAGGTCATAAAATCTGAAAAATGTAAGCGGCGAAGACCAGCAAGCTGGATCACAAACTTCTTGAATGGACACCCCAGAAATTAGGGCCTTGGAGGCCACCATCCCCCTAGTAGAATGGGCTCTAGTGGCCAAAGGTGAAGGCTGGCCCAGAACCTCATATGCAAGAAGCAGCCTTGACTATCCACTTGCCAACCGTCTAATTGGATGCAGGAAGGCCGTTCTTAAGAGGCCCAAAGCATATCAGCAATTAATCAGACTTTTTCCACTGGGCATATTGGAGATACTATCTCTTTTACAACTGTGAGGATTGAAGCTACATAAGCAGGCGAGAGCACGGCCTTTAAGGTCACTGAATCCCACATGAATCTCAATTCTTTACTGAAAGATGGAGAAGACGAAGATCTAAAATGGGACGCAACCCCCCCATTCTTTTTTGGAACAATGACGTACCGGCTGTAGAACCCTGAGGCAATCTTGCACCCGGCGCAAATGACTTTATTCACTGACGCATTTATCATTCCTATTTTGTACACGCGTTTTTTTCCTCCACAGACACACGTCGGTAAACTAGGAAATGAACTTGCGCTCCCTGGGCGGGTTGGCGCAAAAAGGAGGCATGTGTCGGCGCAAACAATCCCTAGTGCTATTTTGCAGTTCCAGAAAACAATTGCGCCAATGACCAGAAAAAACCTGGTCTGAAGTCAGTGGCGCATTGCGCGTACATTCATTTGCTATTTTAAGCACGCCTGCTTGGCCATAATACAGAGAGGGAACAACGCGCATACACTGTAGATGATTCTCTCATCTACACAGACGCACTTTTTGCAAATCATACATTATTATAAGAAAAAATATACAAACATGAGGGAAATCATTGTTGTGTCCATGATGATGGGAAAAATAGGCATAAAACGTACACATTTACCCAAGTTATTATATGCATGTTTAACCGAAGCTAATTTGGGTAGGTTTGTCCCATCCCCAATGTCCCTTGTCTTTCTTTTACGGCCCTGACGAGAACATCGATCTCCTCGGCTGTGAACCGATTGTGAAGTGCGTCTGGTAAATGCGCCATTAAAATAGAATTGCGCCATGGAATAAACGCACCTCGTTCATCACGCTCTTAAAGGGAATGTGAAATGACTCTCTTATTTGGTTTATTTCTGTTACACCCAAACCACACCTTTGAATAATGAAGCTACTCCAGACCAACCCCTTTTAGATTTGCACCAGGCGCAAGAGGCATTTATCCCGCCGGGAAAATAGCAACAACGTCGGGATCCGCCCACAAAGTTACTTGCGCTTTGGGCTTTGACACTTGCGTTTCAGATCGTTAAAATAGGGCCCTGAGTCTCTGTTGGACGGAGTCACCAGCTCTATTGCTTATTTTGCTAATTGTGCTTTCACTTCTTGTTCCATAGGCATCAGGACCTCTTCTTTGCAGAAGTCTTCTTCACAAGCAGAACATTCCTCAGATTGGTCTGCGGCTTAGAAGACTTCTGCTGAGGGTGCCGTCCCACACCCCGCGGTTTTTGGGCTGGGGCGCGAGAAGCAACTCTCTCCTTCTGCTGTTCTCTGTATTAGGAGCTTAACAGCTGGGGCTACTCATGTCCAGCAGCCCCAGGGGCCTGTTGACGGTGAGGTAGATATCGTTTGAACACCTTTGTTTGCTTTTTAGCCTCCTGAAACCATCTTGACAACTATGCTTACTGTGTCACCAAAGAGGCCAGGAGGCAATAGCGGGGTGTCCAAAAGGAAATATTTATCTTTATCTTTGATGTCTCAGAAATTTAACGAAAGATGCCTCTCCGATGCCGCATTAGTTGCCATAGACACCCCAATACCATGAGCGGTCTCTTTCGTGGCTCGGAGAGAAACATCGGGGGCCCTGCCCCCTTGCTAGTCTCCAGGTCCCTCAGCAGATCAGCCAGGTATGGCTGTAATATGGCCATAGTGTGAAGGCATGCACTAGTCTGGCCTGCTGCCGTATATGCTTTACCCACTAACATAGGTGATGTTTTTTAACGGCTTAGTGGGCAGCATAGGGGACTTCAGGGACGAAGGCAACATCCATCAACCATATTCTTTTAGCCCCCTTATATTTTAGAATAAACTTGCACCTGGGACCCAAATACTCTGGCTGAATAAGGTTTATTCCACGTCCTCAATAACTCTTTGTGAAGGTCATGGAAAAATGGAGGTCCCCTCAGTGGAGGTACCGTGCTAGGTGTTAAAAAGCACTCGTCTAACTGAGAAAGGGGCGGGGATCCCCACGTCAAGTGCTTCGGCAGCAGGGCCCGATCCGCAGGGAACGCTCACTGAACATCCTCTTCGAAGAGTGACAAGCGAAAGTGGAGCGTGCGAAGCAACAGCCTCTCACAATGCTCACAATCAGCCCCCTCAAAGGATTACAGAGCATGCTCCGCTCCTAAACACATCACACAAAGTTTGTGTGCATCTCCACCCATGATGTAACGAGGGCAAGGAGAAGCACACAACTTGTAAGACTGTTTGGACGTCATAATATCTTAGACTGAGCTGTATATTTATATATCGTAATAATAATTAATTCAGACAGTTGCACAGAATCTAATGTGGTTGTAAGCTAATAAAACCTATCCTTTCCTGGTCATGACGCCTGCCTGTGATGATCATTCTCGCCATTGGACTTGTTGACACATGAGCTTCAGACAGAATCATGCAGGGGCGATCCCAAAGCGTCATCAACGCATCACGAGTTCCCTCGAAAGGGAACTGCACTGCAGGCAATAGTTTTGAGTTGTGAAATCTGACTTTTTTAAACTCCTTATCCTGTTATGCAGAAATGTCACACACATAATTATATTGTAATATTAACTTTGAATTGATATGTTTTTATGGAATTTACCTGTTTGACAGCACAGAGGAGCCGGCCGTAACAGTACACCATGACCAGCACGGGGAGTCCCAAACAAAAAATGAACAGGCAGATGATATAGGAATGTGACTGAGGAGTGTTGGCGGTCCATGTGACTGAACAGCTGGTTCCTGCCCCTTCCAGTCCATAGCTACTCCAGCCCAGCAGGGGGGGAACCGTCCAGAACAATGAGTAGAGCCAGGAGCCCCCGACAGCCAACAAGGGTTTGCTGTAGTCTGGGGCTCTCTTGTTGTAAACAGTTAAAGTGCTGTAACGATCATACGAAAGGATTGCCAGAGAGATCAATGATACAATCCCTGTTCAAAAAAATGAAAAGAGAAATTAGGCTGTATGCTCACAGTTAAACTACAGAGCCACAGTTAAATAGGAGGTCATTCAGACACTGCATATCTGTTATTATTTAGCATCAGGATTTAAAACTCAAGTGCATTTAATATTATAATAATTATTATAATGACATAATATAATAACGACTTTATAATAATAATAATAATAATAACATATAGTAATAAATTCCTCCTAATGCCAAAATCACAAATGTGATGATTCCCTCATGAGGGACCCCCTTATAAATTTTGTTCCAAAGCAGTTTTAGAGAGAATATTCCTTTAGAAATTACAGTGATGAGCAGTGTTGGGAAAAGTTACTTTTTAAAGTAATGCATTACATAGTTACCTTTTAAGCAACATAATGTATTACATTATTTTGTGTTACTTTCTCTCACCTGGGCTGGGCTGGTTTGTTATTTAATAACTACAACAACAAAGGTAAAGGCCCTTTCAGACCAAAAATGAAATGAATGGCCTCATGCTGAATAAAATGCACATGAACTCCTGTAAATTATGGCACAGCTCATACAAACATTACAGCTTTGCTGTCATTCTGGATCGCAGAAGAGTTGGGCAGGAGAAGAAAGTTCAACACTCTTTCTACCCCACCCCCCTATGTAACTTAGTTTAACTTTAAACTAAGTTACATAGAAGGGGATCTCTTCAATCACCACCAATGTGCAGCATCCACCTGGATGATGCGATGGCAGCCATAGTGCGCCAGAACACCCAACAAACACCAGCTTACTGGTGGAGAGGAGACAGAGTGACGGTGCTCTTTCACAGTATAGTGTCCCCATCACTACAGTGGGGCGTTAGGACTCAACACAGACCACAGGGTGAGCACTGGTCTCACTTACACCTCTTCAGCAGCAATCTGGTTTTCAGTGTTGGGGAGTAGTTAACTACAAGTAGCGAAGCTACTAACTTAACTACATTTTTGAGTAGCTTGGCAGTAGCTCAGTTGCTTTTTAAACAGTATAGCTTTTCCAGTAGCTAACTACTTTTTGCAGCAAGTAGCGGTGTAGCTCGAGCAAAAGCTACATTGTGTTTGTCGAGCCTGCGCGAATCAGCGCGCTGCTAGGATATTCTTCTTCTTGTTAGATTACAAACTCATTTTTTGCCATCACCGCTACCTGTTGTTTAATCACACATCTGCGGCTAACAGTTCACTGACGTACAGAAGTGTGTTGACACACACATGATGATGGAGCAAGATGTGACAGCAGATTTGGAGGATGGAGAAACAACTAACGTTAATTACCCATGGCCTTATTTGTCCAAGTTCAATCGGTATTTTTGAGAAAATGTTCTACATGCAATTTACGTTGGATGTATATTTTTTTCTTGCAATGTTGTAGCCTATTGGTTACAATTTTGCACTTTTGACAAACAATCTGAGATATTTGGGTGTTGTGTGTAATAAAACAATAGTTTTTGAAATCATAATTTTATTGCATTCTTTTAGTGTTTAAAACAATGCAATAAAATTATGATTTCAAAAAGTATTGTTGTCCTCTTCTGTCCTCAGACACTTATTCAGTTATTAATAATACGTTGTTCAAAAAAGCAAAAGTAGTTTCAATGTAGCTAGCTACTTTTTGATAGTAACTTGTAGTGTAGCTAACTACTTTTCCAAAAGAGTAGCTTGACTGTGGTTTAACTACTTTAACTTACGAGTAGCTTGTAGCTTGTCAAACTACAGTTTCAGAGTAGCTTCCCCAACACTGCTGGTTTTCCTAGGAGGCCTCCCATCCAGGTATTAACCAGGCTCAACCCTGCTTAGCTTCAGTGTACAACCAGTCTTGGGCTACAGGGTGATATGGCTGCTGGATGAATGCATGTGACTACAATAAGCATTATGTTTAGACAGCACACCTCTGCAACATACTCCCGATTTCTCTCCACATGGGACAGGAGAGCAGTCATTCAGTAAATGGGAAAACAAAGTATCTTGTGTTACGTATTTGAAAAAGTAACTTTTGTTGTAAATTTAAAAGTAATGCATTACTTTACAAAAAAAACCAAACAAACTCATTAATCTGTATATTTAATTTCCTGTTTGAATCTTCATTTATCTACCATTGTCGGTGTTACATGATCGTTCTACTTTGCCTTCCTGCCTTTATATGAGTTTGCTCTTTGAATCTTTACTATTAAAGACTAATTAGCATCTTGATCTTTATTGTTGTGCTTTGTAAATGCTACCTTTCCCCCTTTTTTTAAAAAAAAAAAAAAGTCAAATCCCCTAAAATAAATAACCGCAAACCCACTGAACACCCTGAACTGAAACCCCAATTCACCCACCTCTTGAATTTTAGGATAATAAATGATCATGAAAATAAAATCAACACCAGTCTGTTAATAAAAGCAATTTAGTTTAAATGTCTACCGGTATTTATCTGAATTTATGTACATCATAAAAATTAATAAAATAAAGAATATTTGATTCAATGCACATAAATTCATTGAATTAAAAAAAAAGCCTGAAAAAAAGCAAACATTATATAATAAAATATTTGGGTGTGTTGTGACATGTTAAGTAATTGGGAATACTTGCAGGGAATAAAATACAATCTGCCTTCTATTCACGTTGGCGTCCAAAAAATAACTTAATGTCAAAGTGATGTTATGATTTAAGAAACAATACCTACTTAGAAATGACTCCCATGTACATAGCTATTTTAAGGAACAAAGTGGACTATTTCAAGCATAAAGTGGGAAAAATACAGACCCATTTTGTTGCTTTTACATATTAATGAAAATGCCTTTAAGCAACACTCATTCACTGATGTTCTTCAAAGGGCAAGTGTGGAATATTTCAGACTGGGTGATGAGACATACCTTCCAAACATTTGTATGTAAATAAGATCATTCGTATCATGCCAAAACAGATTCTTCTCCAACATTCAGATATCAAAATTCATTATGGACATTAATTCACCAGAAATTCACCAGAATATGAAGGGAACATTAACTGTTACTTTGTTTTCACCCTTTAATAATGTAAAAGCCTGTGTTAATAAAGATATTTTGAGTCTGTTGATGGAATCTTAGGCTGTTGTGACTGTGTACGCAAGAAACAGCACACAAGAGAAGAGCCGCACATGTTTGCACTCCAGAAACACACAGAAGAGGATTACAGGGTGATTTTCATATTCTGAGTGTGTTGGTGAACATTGTCAGACACTGCAGCTTACATTCTGAAGAATGTTAAAGAGGACCATTTTGTTTCTTAACTCTCCGAAATGCCTTGATTTGAGTTTTCTTCTAGGAATATACACGTCACAATATTCCTAATTTAAATAATTCCCGCCCAAGGCATACACATACAGTAATGAAGGGTATGAGGTCTGGTTGAGTTGTGTTAATACGGTGTAAGTAGCATGACATTTCTTAAACATGTTCAAAACTGCACCAATCACAAAAATGGTGTAGAAGCAGAAATATGTGTGTTGTGTATTAGTGTTATGTATTATATAAGCAACACTCATTCACTGATGTTCTTCAAAGGGCAAGTGTGGAATATTTCAGACTGGGTGATGAGACATACCTTTCAAACCTTTGTATGTAAATAAGTTCATTCATATCATGCCAAAACAGATTCTTCTCCAACATTCAGATATCAAAATTCATTATGGACATTAATTCACCAGATATGCACCAGAATATGAAGGGAACATTAACTATTGACAGAAGTCTGTTGACAGAATCTTAGGCTGTCGCATTTGTGACTTTGTATGCAAGAAACAGCACACAAGAGCAGAGCCGAACATGTTTGCACTGCAGAAACACACAGAAGAGGATCACAGGGTAATTTTCATATTCTGAGTGTGTTGTTGAACATTGTCAGACACTGCAGCTTACATTCTGAAGAAGCCTCCTGAGAAGACGGATCTAAGAACCATCATCCAGTCCAGGAAGGTGAAAGGAAAGAGGTCCTAATTCCTGTGAGACCTCCGAGGTCCACCCCCCCGGAGAGAGAGTGATCGAGGTCCCATCTCTCCTCGGGCCCTCAGGCCCTCAGGAAGGTTGCGTCGATATCCCGCCGTCTCTGACGCTTCAGAGACGCAAACCACAGGGTGGTTTGGACGGCAGTGCACCCATAGCAAGGTTTGGTGTTGGAACAGGAAGTCAACTCGCTGCTGGAAAAAGTGGTCATAGAGCATGTTCCCCCACCAGTCAGGGAGTCCGGGTTCTACAGCCGGTAGTTCATACTTCCAAAGAAGGATTGAGGGTTGCGTCCAATTTTAGATCTGAGGCATCTGAATCGGTCTCTGAGGAGATTCAGGTTCAAGATGCTCACTATTCCCATCATCGTGAGTCAAATCCAATTTTAAAATTCGTTTGTCACGATAGATCTAAAAGACACCTATTTTCACATGTCCATCATTCCATCTCACAGGAAGTTCCTGAGGTTTCATTTTGTGGGCGACGCTTACCGATATCGGGTTCTTCCATTCGGCTTAGCACTCTCCCCTCGTACCTTTACCAAGTGTATGGATGCAGCCCTGGCACCCCTGAGGCTCAAGGGCATCAGGGTGCTCAACTACATCGACGACTGGTTAATATTGGCCCAGTCGAGAGAGCTTGCGATTCGGCATCGAGATGACGTCCTCGCTCATATCCAGAGCCTGGGGTTGAAACTCAACACAAAAAAGAGTGTGTTGACACCAGCCCAGAGAACCACATTCCTGGGAGTGGTGTGGGTCTCGGTCACGATGCGGGCACAGCTGTCTCCTGCTCGGATCGAGTCTATCCTGACCACAGTGACCAGGATGAAGCTAGGCCAGGCCATCACTGTCGAACACTTTCAGAGAGTGTTGGGTTTCATGGCAGCAGCATCCAGCGTGATACCTTCCGGCCTGCTACATATGAGAGCCTTGCAGTGGTGATTGAAAGCCAAGGGTTCCGCTTGATAATGGTTACGCGTAGATGCTTTCGTTCCCTTTCAATCTGGAAGAAGC